TGTGCTGGACTCAGGGATGGAGAAAATTAATGTTGGAGACCGCTGACAGTGCCCCCAGCCAAGGCAGTCCCTGCTCGGTAGCAGCCCGTCTGCGCCTGCCTTCAGCTGTGCAGGAGGGATCGCCCGTCCCCGGGTGCCGACGCTGCCGCAGTGGAAAACCGGCACCGGCGGTGGCTGTGGATTTTGTGGAGACCTGGACTAAATGCTTTCATTTCCAGAAGGTGAAAAGCTGGGTTTGTTTCCATTCCCGATGCAGCGCCAAGCAGGTTGCTGCAGCTCAGCATTCACATTGCCAGAGCATTTAAAATGTGGTTTTCCAGAACCCTGTTGTAAATGGCTCGTCCTCTGCAGGAGCGCACGGCTGGATTCACCACCACGTTGTAACCTTTCTCAAAGGGAGGGGAGATACTTTCAGATCGGCACCAGTTATGCTTCAGGAATGGGGATGTTGTGACACTTGCTGCCCTTGCTGGGAGGCAGGCATCAGCATTAGCAGTGACTGGCAGGGAGGGATTAAACTGTTAAGTGGTCCCAGTGGTTTCTGGCTGGGGCTGATGGCAATTATGCCGACAATACCTGTCATGTTCACGGCGTAAATGCCAGGCTGATCGTTGAAGGTTGTATCTGTATGTCGCATCCTGTCATAAATCCTCGTAGCTTACAACAACGTTATTTCATTAGAAACCCTCGTAGCTTACAACAACGTTATTTCATTAGAAACCCTCGTAGCTTACAACAACGTTATTTCCAGCAGCGCCGAGCTCAGGGCGTGGGTATAAATCCCATGTCGTATTTAACTTGCCCATGTCTGTTGGGAGCGTGCCCCATCAATACGCGTTTGGTGGCATGGCCGGATTCGTTCTTCTCTTACTGACTGGCTGAGTGCTGTGTATGGCACGTCACTTGTGCCGCTGGCATTGTCCCCAGGCTGGGCGGGTTAGCCCCGGCTGCAGCCCTCTCGCTGTGGCCGACGGCACAAGGGCCGTACCCTGCTCGGTCCCAGGGCAGGCGGGTTGGTTTGAGGTGTTCAACTGTGCAAAACGGCTTTGGGCATCATGAAGAAGGGAAGGGGAGGGCAGCCTGCACCGCCCCGGCATCGCGTTTGGAGCCAGGGCTGTGATTGTCATGGTTTGGCTTCAAGCTGTGATAAACTGAAGCTGGGGCTTTAAATATATAACGCATTAATTCCAAAACCATGGGAATTTAAAGTGTTTCTTAACACCGTTAATGTCCTTGAAATGCCTCCGGCGTTTTCTGGGGTGAGTGGAGATGAGCCTGGGCTCCTGGCTTTAAAAACTACAAGGCTTAGGTTGGGCAACGCGTGGGAGGTCTCTGACACACCGAGCAAATGGCTTAGGCATGGATTTGGTAGGTGCCTATGCGTCTTACTGCAAATCTTATGACTTAATTAGGTTGGTTGGTTTGCCTCTGCCTTTCAAAGGTGTAGTAAGACTATCTTCCATCCCTCTGGGATAACATGAGGAAAAGTCTTGCAGTGAATTTGTTTCAGGGTCGTGGAAGCAAAGGGTTCCTTCTGCAGACCAGTGGCTGGTTCTTACTGGCGATTAATACTGTCAAAATCCCATGATGAACATTTTTAACCTCTTCTTTCATTTACTAGTGCCCATTAAAAATTATCCCTTATTAGCAGCTTATATGTAAAAAACCTGCCTTTTGCAAGATCTCTTTCTTGCAGTTGAGCGGTCACCAGAGATAAAGTAGGCACGTGCTGGCTGCAGTGCTGGTAAATTTTGGGTTCCACTCAGAATCTGATCTACATAATTTTATTTTATTTTTATTGTTTTACTTTAGCAACTGTTACACCAATGTAGATAACCTCTGCAGGGCAAGCAGAGAGAACTAATGTCGTATGCGGGCAGACGTATGAAAACATCTAATTTGCCAGCAGGCAGTTGGGTAATGATCAGTTGAGAATTGCAAATTATGTACGTCATATATTTGTGGTATGCTGCTGAAGAAAAGCCCAGTGCATGTGACAAATCATATATATACTGAAATTTATAATACTTTTCATATTTAATTGACTGGGGCAACCTTATGATTTATATCTTTGCTTTATTCATAGTACGCCCGTAACATAGTCATAATGCAGAACGAAACTAATTCAATTTCTCCTTGACTTTGTAAATCATTTATATATTTGGCTGTCAAGTATTTGAATATACTTGGGCATACATACGGCAGAAAATAAATAGCTGATTCTCTAGTTAAGAAATTGAGTTTTAATGATATTAGGGTCTGTGTTGCCTTAGTTGGATGTTTGGTCTTGTTTAGATAGCATGCCTTACCTTTGCCCCTTGCCTTATTTCACAAGCAAAGTATGTTTTATGGGCACCAGCATTACTCTCTTAATGGCCCTATATAGTGTTATGACTGTGTAAAAGGTACTGGCCTTGCTTTGATGGCAGCGGGAGCCCTTCCCAGGCTCAGGAGCAGTAAGTGGCTGAGCTGTTGGGCTGCTACTCTTAGTCACAAGAGCTCTGCTTGAATGTGCCGGGAGGACACGCAGGGGCTGCCTCATTAGTAGAGGCTCTGTAGATGACAAGAAGAAAATGTTATGTTGGCTACAACAGACTGTGATTGCTTTCCCAAAGATCAGTTTTTGCCATGGAGCTATCATGCAGAGTCATTGAAAATGCAGCCTGGAAAGATTTTTTTTGTTTCCTTTAAATACCAGGTTACCTGGCTTGGCATTGCTAATTAAATCTTGGGAAGCACAGCCCTGAAAAGCAATACCTTACCCACTCGACCACAGCCAAGGAGGCTTCCTAGGGTGCTTGTTGCCTCCTAAGAAAAATAATTTTCTGCAGTCAGATCTTTCCTTCACATGTTTTTTGACACCTGTAGCGTCACTGGAAAACATCTGCAAAATCAAGATAGTGCAGAAAGTGTGAGGCAGTTTGCTGGCTCATTATCATACCGCAAAAGCAGCTCTCCTCCACAGCAGCATCCTTGATTTCTAAATTTAGCGTGTGAGTTATTTTGGGTAGTGTGTGATTAACCTCAATTACTGTAGCTCGGATGGAATTCAAATAATGCCCCCTCTTTCAGAGTTGCAAAGAAATGGAAATCTGGGACTGTACGTTTCCTACCCTTAATGAACCAGCTCTGAGAGATGCTTGCACATCGGTGGAGGTCAGTTGTGTTATGCGTTTGTTCATGGAGAAATTACTGGGGGAAGCTGATCCCGAAAGGTGCTGGTGGTCCATGGCTCTGTAGTGGTTTTGGGATCAGGAATGTAGAGATGAAGGCAGCAGGTTATGTGGTGCAGCTGTGAATGAAACCTGGGTGGCCACAGCAGAGATCACTGAAGCTTCAGCGGATTTGGATCACAGTCAGGACACTTTGTAGTTTTCCTGCTCGAATTAAATCAGTAACGGAAGCTTTCAAAAACTAATTAAAAATATACTTTCCCTCAATCTCAGCCGTAATGAATGTCATCTCTCCAGAAAATCATCGGTGGTGAAGCAATATGCCAATAGATGCCTGCACGCACGCAGACCTACTCGAGCCTGTGTGACAGAGGGGAGGTGCAGGACGCTGAGAAGGTGCCGTGGAAAGCGGCGGGTCTGGGGGAAGGCGGCATATTTCAGCCCATCCAGGGAGCGCTAACGGACGAGCTTGTCGTTTGTCAGGCTGAGAATCGAAACTTTTGTCATCACTGTAGCTGTTACTTTCCAGACTGCACTGCACCAGCCAAACCTTTCTTCTGTCAAGCAGTTTGTCTCCAAAGGAGGATAAAACCCAGGGAGGTGGTTAGTGCAACCCCAAGCCAGCAAATAAAGTTCATTTATGTGTAGCAGTCGGCGGGAGAGCTGACGTACGGCAGCTTGCTGGTAGCCAGAAGGGGCTGATGCTTTGCAAACGAAGGCGGCATTTGAATGGAGAAGCCAGCCCTTCTGCCTGAAGTCAGGTTTGCATGAGGAGGTGAACCAAAACTGGGAGGTTTTGCGCCAGGCTGAGCTTGGTTTGGAGCCTTGTGGGTGGAGCGGTGCCGTGACCACCCCACTGCTCCACGTTTCTAGCCTTGTGGCATGGCCAAAATGACCCTGAAGGAGTCTAAAGAGTGCTTAGAGCCTGGAAAGCATCTATAAAATTGCAACCTCATTACAGCAGCTATCGACTTCTTCAGGGGCCAGTTTGATTTTGTGCTTTTTGTGGTTTTGTAATTTATGTCTGTGTATTCGCACTAAAAATAACAGATCTGCCCCAAGTCCTACCAATGGGAAACTGCTCGCGGCAGTCACCATGCTTCTTCCACGTGTGCTGTAATTGCTTGCTTAACTGGCAGAAACAACATTTTACCCTCAGAAGACATTTCAGGGCCAGGCAGACGCTGAACACTGAACCACAGGGCTGTGGGCAGTGTGTTGCAAAAAAAAAAAAAAAAAAAAAAATCTCTGCTGAAGGCAGCAGGAAAACCGATTGCCCGAATTGAGTGGTAGCACAAGGATGCAGCAATATGGGGGAAAAGGGAAAGAAAATAAGCAAGTGCTATTGTTGTGCATTTCTGCTGAGCTGCCTTCTGTCTTTTTCTGGGTGGCAAGCAGGGGGCAGGGGGTGTTTGGCTTGGTGCTGTGTGTCCTGCCCTAGCACAGGGGGACTTCCCAAGCACCAGCAAAGCGATAGCCTCTGGAGGGCACCCTGCTTTTCAGGGGTTCAGATAGTCACCAATGAGGCTTGCTGCCAGACTGACTCACAGGGCAAAGTGAGTGTAAGATCTCGGGGTGAGGATGCTCAGCCCCAGGAAGCAGCTGGGCATCAAAACAGGGTCTGCACAGTCCCCTGGTTGTGTCTGTCTTGGGACCTGGTAAACATTGTGTCCTTTGTTGGGGGCTCTGTCCCAAAGCAGGGCCCGTCACCACTCTCTCTGTGCTATACTTAATTGATAACGTAATACAAATGGTCGGTCTGAAGAACTTGTAAAGGTGCTGCATTGGTTAATTTTTTACCTTGATTTGCTTTTTGCTTTTATACAGCTGGACAACCCAGATGAGCAAGCAGCACAGATCAGACGCGAGTTAGATGGACGTCTTCAAATGGCAGAGCAAATTGCCAAGGTAAAAAAAAAAAAAAAAAAGGTCTTCTGTATTAACAAGCTCTTCATATAGAAGCACATAAGTAGTTTGATGCAGCCCCCAGGTCCTGTCCTTCCCTCACAGGTTTCTTCTCCCAGTAATCACCAGTTAAAAATGTGCAGATTTTTAACGACATACAAAGCAACAAGTACAGATGAAGCTGTTGTGATGTGCATTTATTGGAATGTCCTGATAAGCTGAGACAGTTTAGGTCCCTGCAAAATCCCTTACGAATCCTCAGCAATGGGGAAGAAATTGTCTTGAAGTGCTCCAGCTAGATCTGCAAGTGCACATGTAAGCCCTCTTTGTCATGGGGCTTACACTTATATGCTGGGCAATAAGGTGGGTGATGGCATGTAAAAAGGAGCCAGAAATTGCCCTAAAGGGGTTTGTGCCATTCTCTGGGCTGCTGGGAGCCACAGCTCCTTGCCTGAAGGTAGATGCTGCCTCAGTAAAGGTACTTCAGATGTGCTGTCCCAAACATGTTCACACTTTGCACAAGAGCAGTCAGGCTAGTGTTGCACCGTGCGGACATCACTGCCGTCTGGAGCAGCAGACGTGGGACCTCAAAACAGTTTTTGTAACCAAGCACTTGGCTAAACTCCCCAGAGACCTTTCTGTAAGGTGGCATCTATGATTCTATGATCTCTTTAGGAGCAAATCACACCCTCACATGGTGCAGATTTACGTGGCCTCCGAAGGACCATAGATGGAGAGAAACCCTGGATCCTGTTGACATCAGTATGGCTGAGATTTTATCCTTGCCTCTAATCAGATGCTCTGAGTCACCGATAAAGCCCTAATGGGGCTGAAGTCATTGGGAATGATCTATCTGTCTGTTCTTGATAATCAAGAAACCATTACTACAAGGAAAAGAAAAAGGTCTAATCAGGGAGATGTAGCTCAGGCTAGGGGCCTGCCTTTCGGCAGCAGTCCTCCTGGCACTGAGCTGTGCCAAATGGTAGGCTTTTATGAGAAAGGTAATATCAGAGCTGTTTGCGACCACACTGAGATCCCTGGGTGTGAAAAGCAGAGCCCGTTCATTTGTGGCCAGGCGTTAGCAAGGATGCCAGCAGTGCCTGTGCAGTTACTCCTCACTAATGCTTCTGTTAAACAGCTACTGCTGTTGCGTCTTTGGGGAGGTGAGTTCTGGTTTTCCCCACTTCACTGATAAAAATAGTAAGGTGGCCAAGGACCACGTGGCCAAACGACAGCGGAGCAAAGCAGCAAACCGTCTGCAGCTCCTTTGTTCAGCGTTTGGCCCTTTGCCATTTTATTGTCAAGAAAACCTACAGTATTTTTCATTTGCAGCAAAACGTAAGCCCCTTCGTGGAGTGCTGGTGCTCCGGTTCTGAGATGGGTAGGCAGGCACTGGGTGCCAGAATGAGATTGCCTGGTTTCGTTGTTTCATTTTCTCTTAATGGCTTGTGGGACAACAATATGCATGGTTCAGTAGCAGCCAGCAGAGGCTGCAGCTTCATGAATTATTTTTTGCAAATGAGAATTTGCCATTTCCATTCCTTCCCCATCCTTTTCAGGATGCTGAAAACAAACCATGCCACTGCTGGCCCTGGAGAGACAGTCAGGGGAAAGTCCTCAAAGCAGCCTGACATTTCCCCATACAGAATTCAACCTTCAAAATACAGCTGTGCAGCTTGGGGGGCAGTTTAGAGTAAAAGTGACTTACCTGTGAGCCAGCTGGCAGGTATTGATATTTAATCTCCTTCACGTTACTGCTGCAGGCCTTCTCTCCAGAATGTCAGATCCCACCAGCACGTGCCTACGAGAAGCCTTGTTCTTTCAGACCCATGAATACCATCTTTTGGAGGCATCCAAATGACCTTTTGAATCCTTTTCTGTATCCTCCTTTCCCAGCAAGGCTACTTTCCCTCTAGCATAGGGCAGGTTCACAATTCAGCTCAATGAAAGGATAGCATTTCCAATTTTATCTCCAATTTGCACCTTTTAATGCAGATTTGCTGCACAGGGAGACTTACTGTGCTCGTGAAACCAGCCCTGAGGTGGCCGTCTTGGAGATTCCATGCTAAAGGCAAATTAGCACCTCATTAATAAATTAACAAATTCACGCTAGGACTTTTGTACTTCAGAGGCAACGAAGGCTGTGGAGTCTAACGGGACCTGGGATCACAGTGCTGCAGGACTGGTGGCTCTGCAAGCCCTCGTCTGACCTGTCGTGTGACCCCGAACAAGTCACCACGTATGCCAGCTTCCCTCAGTGACCTGCATCTGGATACCAGGGCACAGCTCTGCGTCTTTTTACCTCCTCGTGTGCCCGGGAGAGTGCTGCTCCGCACAGCGCCAGTGCAGCATTGGGCAGAGTCCCCCACTGAGCTACATAAAGCCTAGCCTTAGAGCCAGCCAGCTTGAGGATCACGCTCGAAATCAAGCAGATGTTTTAAAGCTGCATCTGGACAGGCTCTGCGTGTTGTACTTTTCCAGCATCGAAATGTGAACAGCATTACAGCTGAGAGCTTAGTGATGCCAAGGCAGAGGTATATTTTTTCTCTGCAGTAGCAAGTGCTCTGCTGTCCTGTGGTGCCTTTCCCCCCACCCAGTCACCTGGCATCAAGGGCAAGGAGGAGCACGTGTAGGGGCAACTAAATGAGATGTTGGGGTGACACCAGCGCAACATGTCCGTCTGGGGCTGGACCCACTCTGCTTCAGCCTGCTGGACTGGTCATTCCTTGCAGTCTTTCCACTCTACTTCTCTCCACATTTGTCCCCGCTTCTGGTCTTCCCCCTGCTCCAAGTATACATGGAGGTGACGAGCATCCCTTCTTGCTGTTGTCTGCATCCCTTGATTGTGTCTTCCTCCAGACTTCCCCCTACTCTATCTCCAGTCCGATGGGTAACTTGGGACCACACCTGCATCTCTGCATTTCCATCATCAGACCCAGTCCCAGTTAAATTGTTATGCATCACTTCAAACTACCTGGTTGTAGCCTTAGTATAAGAAGTTGCTGCTGGCACACAGTGAAATGTCTCAGTCCTTGCTGCACTTCTGAAGAGGTTTGTGGGGGCAGTGCCAAAATTGCAGTCCTTGGAGAGATGGATAGCAGCAGGGTGAAAAAGCAATAATGTTTGAACATCATTGCTTCAGCAGTAGTTCTCAAAATCTACAAAACAGTTGTGTTTTTTTTCCTAGGGGTGACTTATAACTTATACAATGCATAGACAATAAACTAGACTGATTAGGTAGTTTATCTTACGCCACGTCTAATTTACATGAGGGAATTGCTTCCCAAGATTGAGACTGGAAACAGAAGACTATATTTTAACTGCTTGGTGCGAGTGCTGCTGTGAGGTTGTAATGGGTAAGCTATCGAGGACTGATGCAAAAACTAGTGCAGTGGAGTACTTTTTCAGCAGCCTGATGACAGTCTTCTAGAAGAAACATGACCTTGTTTTCTTTTCTAGCATACATTTTACGAACTGCTTTTTACAATATTATGAATTGCCACTAAAGTACTTTGCAGATCAGCCTCAAGTTCCCTGGCTGCAGATGCTGCCTTGCTGTCGTACGCCTTGCACAGTCTCTCGTAACCCACTGAGAGACGTTCAAGTCCTGAGCAGATTCGGGGCATGGGCAGAGTTGTCAGAAGACGTAGGGCTCAGACTAGTGATCCTAACGGAGCTGGAGCATGGGCAGCAGTTCAAAGCTGAGAACACACTTTGGGGCACATCACATTTTGCTCTCATTGACAGCTTTGATTTTAAAGTTTAAGTGTCCTGTTTACAACAAGCAGCATTGGAGGGTCTCACAGTGAAAGTTTATCTTGCTGGAGGGACACACAGGCCTTGGCAAGTAGTGGAAAGGGTGTTTTACCCCTTCTTCCAGTTGGGACCACACATCCCTGCCCGCACATTGCTGATTTTCCCTCCTTGGGTTCCTTTCACACCTAGAAAACTAATGGAGCAACGGCTCAGAAGTGTTTTAAAAAGAGCTGGCACATTTGGGAGACTGGAAATGAGTCCCTAACTGTCAGCATCCTTTGAATCATTAGTAAATTGCTGTCAATCAGAAAGTTCAGCTGAGATCTGGCCTGGAGTGTTTGTAACTGTGAATACATGTATACGAAGAAGGCCATTTGCAGATAGAAAAATGAATGAAATGCAAGTACATGCAAGAAACAGTGAAGTTGGATAAGTACCAAGTAGTAATTCTATGGGAAGCTAACAGTAATGTTTCTACATTACACAGGGGGAAGCTGTAATTTGTCGTCTGGTTTGTGGGAGTTCCCTGCTTGCAAACCTCTCTGCAGATGCTCCTGGGGGATTCTCCCAGTGCAACAAGTGGTTGCTGATTGTCACCGCAATTCATTCTGTTGTTTTGTTTCCAAATCCAAGGAGCGCAAGTTTCCGAAGTTTGTGTCCAAAGAAATGGAAAACATGTACATTGAGGAGCTGAAGTCGTCTGTCAATCTCCTGATGGCAAACTTGGAGAGCATGCCTGTGTCTAAAGGAGGCTCCGAGTTCAAGCTACAGAAGCTGAAACGCAGTCACAACACCTCAATAATTGACATGGGAGAAGAAAACGAGAACCAGCTTTCCAAGTCAGATGTCGTGTTGTCGTTCTCCCTGGAGGTAAGCTCATGCACACGACAGTGTGCAGAGTTTGTGGGAATAAAAATCACAGCAGCTGACTTCTGCTCAGTTCAAGCTTAAGTTAGGCAGAGAGAGTTCAGTAGAAATCACTTTCTGATCTCCATGAGGAATAGCTCCTCCCTGAGTTACCAGAAGCTTTGCCTGTGGTCAAACACTGTGTCCTTTCTGGTGTCTCACCATCTTGTTGGAACAAACTTTGTGAGATAAACCGTCTGGCATTTCCTGAGCTCACAAATCTGCATCGTTAACTGACCTCTTCATGCAGCTTGTTACTGAGTGTACCCCAGTACCCCTGAGCCTGTATTGTCCCCGAAACCACTACAATAATGCAACACCATAAATGTCAGCATGTTTAGTTATTGCCAGTCAGGGGTGTCACTGTATTTCCCTGCAAGCCTTGCTTCCTCTTTGGAGAATTGTTAAAAATTGCTGGGGTTTGAATGCACCCAAGACCTCTTCATGCAGCTTGTTACTGAGTGTACCCCAGTACCCCTGAGCCTGTATTGTCCCCGAAACCACTACAATAATGCAACACCATAAATGTCAGCATGTTTAGTTATTGCCAGTCAGGGGTGTCACTGTATTTCCCTGCAAGCCTTGCTTCCTCTTTGGAGAATTGTTAAAAATTGCTGGGGTTTGAATGCACCCAACAGATTGGCTTGCAGTTTGTGTAGAAATACCGTGCTTTGCTGGCTTGCTCTTTGCTTTGTGTTGAGCGCTGACTTTCTGCTCAGCGCTCTGTCGAGCAGTTTGTCTGTACAGCCCAGGGAAAGGCAGGGTGCTGTAGGAACTCCGACACAGGCTGTCTCGGTCCTGGAAGCAGTGTTGCTGCAGTAGCTGTTTTCAGCAAACCTAATTGTTCTGTGCAAACATATTTGCAGTCTAGGCAAGACATTTACTCCAAGCAGTCATCAGCGCGCCCATACAGAATTGTTGTTGACTGTCAATGAGTGGGTTTATGTTACATTGTCAAAACAACTACCAGGATGCGGTCAAAAATGTAGGAAGCAGAAAAATCAGAAAATTCTATTTTTGTGTAGTTTCCTGTTTACTTCTCTTCCTAAGTGGTCTCTTGTTATATATATCATGCCAATCCAAAACTTAACGATGCTGGTTGTCCAGTCTCAGAGTTTAACTTATTAGATGTCTGACACCGTCTTTATAATATTCAGTTCAATCTTATTTAAAAATAGGGCTCTGAACGCAGAGACGGTGCCTTCAACAGCAGCATCAAGTAAAGCCTGACTTCTAAGAGTTCCAGTACAGAGGAGCAGGGAACTATCACAAAGCAGTAGACCTTTGTGTTGGAAAAGCCTGTGCAGCGTGGATAGCCGTGCATAAAGGGACTTGCCCTTAAAACGGGATGTCTCAAACGCTTTGCTCCAGCTGAACCCCATCCGGTGGGAAGCAGAAGCTCAGTGAAGCACTGACTTCAGGAGCTGACAGGTCTGTGCATGGCTCTGTGCACGAAACTCTTGCTGCAGGAGAGCTTTTGCTGAAAATGTGTGTTCATCAGAGGGTCTGCGGAGTTCTGTGTGCCAAGGAAGGGATCCTCAGTGCAAGGACAGATCAGAAGACCAGAGGAGAGGAATTTTAAACCCCTGTGTATATACTTCATAGGTAGCTGTAATACAACACAAACAGAAACTCCCACAGTATTTCTTGTAGAAATGTTTAAGGTATGTGGTTAACAGGATTAATCACCTTTAAAAAAACAAAAATGTAATTACCTGCAAGAAATTTAGATGGTGATTTCTTAATAAGAAAGATGGAGAAACACTTTTTACCAGGGCTTGTAGTGACAGGACAAGGGGCAACAGTTTTAAACTGAAAGAGGGTAGATTTAGATTGAGTGTAAGGAAGAAAATGTTTACGATGGACGTTATGGTGAGACACTGGAACAGGTTGCCCAGGGGAGTTGTGGATGCCCCATCCCTGGCATTGTTCAAGGTCAGGTTGGATGGGGCGTTGAGCAACCTGATCTAGTGAAAGATGTCCCTGCCCACAGCAGGGGGGTTGGAGTAGATGATCTTCAAAGGTCAAACCCAAACCATTCTATGATTAATCTTGAAAATAGGCTTTTGGCACAAGCTGAGCAGCTGTGTGCTTTTTTTCTGGATTTCACGTATTAAGGTACTTTTAGGTGGGGCAGTACCATGTCTGTGAGGCCCATCTCCTGAAGCTTGGTACAGCCCTGGGCACCCATGGGATTCAACTAGCCTATGTGCAGCCAGAGGGAGACCTCCCGGTCTCCATACAGACCTCGTTGCCTGCTGCGGTCCCTGCTCAGCCTGGGCAGTGCCACCGTCCCTGCCCACCTGCCACCATGAACATCCAGCAGCATGTGGAGGACCCCAGCACTGGCTGACCCCGTGGGTTTCAGCAGCCAGAGCGAGATCTGAAGGAGGCTGCTCCTCTTACACTCCTCTTTCTTTGCCCCGCAGGTTGTCATCATGGAGGTGCAGGGTCTGAAGTCACTGGCCCCCAACCGCATTGTGTACTGCACCATGGAAGTCGAAGGTGGGGAGAAACTGCAGACTGACCAGGCTGAAGCCTCAAAGCCAACGTAAGTCTTACTTTGCCTTTTGCTCTCTCCACCATGCTCTCCTCTGCCCCATCTCTGCGCTGCTGAGCCTCTGCGGATAGCTCTGGCTCCTGCATGGTGAGGACAGAGGGGACTCAGAGAAGCAGAGGCCTTCCACCTATGCAGAGTGTCGTCCTGCAACTAAGAATGGCACATAAGCCCTGATTGAGGGGAAAAAAAAGTGTTAATAACAGGCTTAGGTCTCTTGTAGCCATAGAGACATAAATTTGTGCCTATACGTAAGTACTTTGCTAAATAGGGATGGAGTTAAGCATGTGCTTAGATAAATACTTGTCTGAGTGTCCATCTGAACTGGTGCCATCAGGTGTAGGTGCATAAGCTCATCCTCTCTGTCAGGCTTTCAGTGGTCCTACGAGAAAGGGAAACAACTGGCAGGGACATGCTCCAGCAGCCACAGCCAGAGGTGGAAGAGAGGACCTGGGAAAGCTTCAAGTCACTTAGTTAAAGCTTTATCTGAGGCCACTCTGCCCTGGTCCAGTTCAAGGGCAGAGTCTTGTTCTGTCCTCTTTGACCTGGTCCCCAAATCCCCAGCCTTGGCCCCATACTTGGCTTTTTTGTCTTCCCCAGATGTTGTTTTAAGCCTGCTATTAGTGATTGATCTTTATTAATTTGGAAGGAGAAAATGATGAATGGCTTATTTCCTTTCTGATTTGTGGGATTAGTTGAAACACTGTCCGTATGGATTTGAGGCAGTTTTCCTCTGGTTCACTGAGGAGATTTCACACTTAAATTAAATTCTCGGTGCGCCTCCTCACAGTGGAGAATTGCCAAGGTGATATGAAGCCTCCTCCGGCGGTGGGGAGCAGTGCAGGAGGGGATGCTGTTGGGATATTCCCTTTCTGTTCCCATATCCCATTCCCTCCCAGTGACCGGTCCCCAGCGGCGTTTCACCAGGAGCTTCCCAAGCTTGTGGAAGCAAAGCCAAGAACACCCGGTGCGTTACATGTGAGTGCACAAGGACTGCAGGCAAACTGCAGTTCAAGGCCAGCTGATGCAGGCAGGAGGAGAGCCGAGCCGAAGGCAGGCTGCCTTCCCTGGGAGGTTGTCCTCCCGCCGAGATGCAGAAACTGCTGATGCCTTGCACCCTGCGCTGTACTGGAAGAGCAGGAATCTGCAGTAAGTGGTTTAAAAACAATATTCCCAATCAGTGAAAGTGCTGCAGCCTGGCTTACTTTTCAAAACACTTTGAAATCTGCTTCAGAGAAGGAAGTAGGAGAGCTGTGCTTGGAAGAAAATTTCCATAAGAAGCTGCAGTTGTCACTATTTTAGGTATTTGGGCTCTATTTAGAGGAAATTACTACTACCCATACTGAAAAGCACACTTCTGCTGGGTTACACGCGCTTGTTTAGCTTGGTCTGTTCATCCCACTTTTGCTCAAAAGGTCTGTCCTTCCTTACACAAGCCTTCTTGCTGTCAGCCATAGGACTGTTTATACAAGTGTTGTTTTGAAAATAAGGGCTGCAGGAGTGAGCTCTTTAATTGAGTGGGTCTTTTTATCATAATGAAATGTACAGTGTCTGGGCATGAAGCCATCAGCCCTCAGGAAAATGTAGCCAACGCTGAATGCTGCGGCGTGATACGAGTTATGCAAATCCATCACACTCATCCTCTCTCTGCACTGGCTTCCCATAGAGGTGCGAGTCAGGCTTGAAGTCTCCTGGTTTGCTCCATCACTTGGGTTGATAACTATGGAAAAGCCTTAGGAGGGGAGTAGGTTTGACAGTTGCGTTCCTTGGGGGTCCTGGGACTTTTTACTTCCAAAACCGAAGACCACCCAAGCTAAGGCTTCAGAACTACCTTCCACAGAAACCAGAGACCATCACAGAAAGCTTGTTCTTTTTCCTTCTTTGCATTAGAAGTGCTTCTTTCTCCTTGCTTCCCCTCCCAGACACAAAGGCCCAGGCAGGGAAAACAAAAGCCCTATGAAAGCAATTTACTGCATTACATTCTCCTCTTCAGAAGAGAAGGAGAGAATTAACGAGATGTGACATGTTTGTCGTGATGCTTGATACAAGACCTGAAGGCCCTCAGGTAGTCCGGTGATGAGGGCAGTGATAGAAACACCTCAGAGAAGTCTTTGGTGTGTTTTTGAGCTGTGCTGCCTTGCAGACAAAAGATCCGCGGTCAGCCAAAACAGCCTTCTGGATCGTCTCTTTAGATACCGACGTCACTCTCCCCGAGGTCACCGTGTTTGCTTGTGTATTTTTTATCATAAGCAAAACACTCATTGATAAAGGAACTAGATCAGCAAAAGCATGCTGGACTGCTCTCCAGGGGAGCTCGCTCGCTCCCCAGGCATCGCAGGTTTTGTGTGCTTTGGCAGGGGATGCTGCCTGGCCTGGGGGTGAGGAGCACACTGTGGGGAGTTTGAGCCTCAGCACTATGAAAGTGTAAATACTGAAGCAGGTTATCCCTGTACATCCCAAAACTTTTCTATCTCAGAGACTCAAAAAACAGAAATGCAGGTTAAGTACCTGTACTCAGAAGATGCGATGAATATAGTTCTGAAAACATGCAGTATTTTCTCAGATTAAACTGTAACTCTTCAAACTGCCTGAAATTCAGTTTTGCCATCATCTGGAGGCTCTACAGGCTACAAAAGACTAAATTTCTCATACACATCAGGGGAAAAAAAATTACATTTGAACAGTAAGATTACTGGAAGACTTCCCTTTTTTACGACAGCCCTGTGTCCTGGGGAGGTGGAAAGGAGAGTGTCATGGGTGTACACGACCTTGTAGGACATCTTTTTACCTAAGAATGACTCATGGAGTTCTTCACTGTATTCTCACGTGTCCTTGAAATGCCAGCCCTCAGCTAAAACACCCAGGCCACAGCTAAAACACCCAGGTGGCAATGGCTGCTCTTCAGCTCGATGCCAGGGGTGCTAAACTGGGCTTTGCACCCCTAATAGAAAAAGGCAGTTTCCCAGCCAGGAGAGGATTTCCAAAAGCACTGGTCTAGGTCTGTGAGAGATTCACCTTTTGTCTTCCCTGGTGCAAAACCAGCAGTTTTTGCGAATAAGATGTTTGAAAGCGTCGTAGTGATTTTGGAGCTTGACAGAGGCACGGTAGCAGCAAGGTTAGCAGCCACGTGTACCAAGCGATCAGATGAGTTGAGTGCGAGAAGTGTGGCTCTCAGGACAGCAGTAAATACTGGTCTTCTATTTCTTCTTAGGCTCCATGTTGGATTCCTGACGTTTTAAGCCCAATCCCTTCATGTGAGGATTATCTGCCTCAGCGCGGGTACAGAGGATGGCACAGTACTAGAGAAAGCCAGACCTGAAATAGCAAGGGTTATTTCAGATCAGGCTTGCAGTGTATTATTAGTAGCACTTTTAATAAGTTGTGTAAGAAAAAGCCTTTGTATTATGCCCTAACCCGCAGATTGCCTCTACGAAATATCCCAAATCCCAATGCGAGCAGGATTTTACTGCTTTTCATGCTGGAATTGTATTCTTGCAGATCTTTGAGGGTTTTAAACCACTCCTCTTCCCTGCACGTTGTCCTGATGTCTGCCCTCTGTAAAGCACGGAGAGTGATGTGGCTCTGCACGTCTTCAACACTGCCCTTCCAGGAGCTGCATTAGTAATGCTGCTGTTTGCACGGCCTGAGAACAAGATTGCCGAGGGATCGGGGAATAGCACAAAAGGTCCAGCCGCAACACCCCTGTCCTACAGCCTCTAAAAAGGCTACTGGATATATTTAAACAGTGACCTGTGCTTGTAGCACTGCTCATGGGCTGTACCAGTGATTCATCTTCTTATCACACTGCCTTTTTCTGACGTGAGCAGAACAAAAGAAAACAAAGAGATCCAAACAACAGCAAGATCCTACATGCCTTGTAAATAAATGCTGTATATTCACCTGGATGTATTTCAGCATGCAGATAAGTGTCATTCTCCCCTGGCTCACAGTAGTGAGAATCAGGAGCATTGAACTCAGCTGAACCATTTGGGATAAAAGCAGTAAATAACTGGTTGGGGGTGAATCTGGCCAACTTGTCTGGGCATTTTGGCATGCCCAAGAAGGGACAGAGGTACGGGCTGCTCCTCTGACTCTGGAAATGCCTTCGTTTGAAGGTTAAATATCCCCCCTTGCAGAGCAGCCTCTCCAGGACTAGTGCAAGGGTCGTGCAGTAGCTCAGAGTATGAGAAGTGAGGATGGAGCTTACTATTTTTGAAGGAGAAAAGATCACTCTTTATTGCCTGGGGTTTTTTTTTCCCTGCAGTTTTCTTAAGCGTGTGCTGGAGAGAGGGCACTCAATGGGTCTTATCTGATTCTGTGTCATTTCTTATGTTGTTTGTCGTGACCAAGAGCTCAGGTCTCATGCCCTCTCCAGAAATTCGCTTTTGATAAAGTAATGTCTTTGGTAAACTTTTAAACCTCTACATCTCCGTTCCCTTAGCCACCGCACTAGGAGGCAGGGGTGCCCTGTTTTATCTTCGTGCTTGCTCCTGATGCTGCTCCCTGATTTGCTTTCAGGGTGCTCTGACGGCTCAGCTGCTTATCTCTGCTACGACAGGCTGCCTTCCTTTGGATCCCTACACCAAACCCTCCAAGCTTATCGCTCAACTAGGGTCTCCGTTTCAAATTGGTGTGCCGCATCCAGCAGAGCTCTCTGCCTCGCTGCGAAGAGGGACAGGAACGCCACAGCATCCTTCCTCAGCGCCGTTCGGTGACCATGTCCTTCCGAGAGACGGGCACTGAGCAGCAAAGGGAGAAGCCCTGCGGGAGGGGTGGCTGGCAAGCAGGGATGCCCTCTCTCTCTTTGCAGAAGGGGAAAATCTGGTCTTTTCATTCAGGAATCCCCTGCCTCAGGCCCTGGAGTTTGAAGTGATGCTCAGTGGCTTTGTACAGAGTAGGAGCATGATAAAGGCATTTTGTTGCAGTCAGTGTTTTGCTGTCACGGTTAGTTGGGAGATGCTGTGAACACTTCCCCGTGGTAAAATGAGAAAGTT